CCAGCGTAAGTACAGTTATAGTAATAGGGCAATAGGGTTGTACAACAGCCAAAGAGAGAGCGCCGCTTTACTGGGTGCCCTCATGTTGCTCATGGACAGCTTATTTCTACTGCAACTTTAAAATAAAACTTCATCATGTAGAAAGATCAATAAGATGCTAGCACTTGCGCTTAGCTTTTGGGGGAACATAACTGGGCTGACTGAAAGGCACCGCGCTATGCGTAGACCGCATTTACTTGGACAAGTGTTCTCACTGCTCTCTTCGTAGCACCTTGTCACCCTCTTCGTAGCTGTCTTGCGAGGTTCATCTCTACTGTGAAAAAGACGCTCTTGTCTTCTCAGTGACTCGGTAACTTCGCAGTTTTCTACACGTAGTGTCCCTTTAACGATGCATTCCACTCGGGGAAGTGCGTAGGCAACAACATAGGTGGAATTCTCCGCTGCCATTGCGAGTACCACACGCTCCCCTAACTGCAAGGAATGATGTTTCATTACCACAGTGGTCCTGGCTCTCTCTCTCTAGGGTCAAGCTCACTAATTTTGTACTAGCATCTGATGATTCTTGGAGGAAATGCGATCAAGAATGAATAAACCACGGATTCCCTACATAATATCCGCCCTCCTAGTGGTTCCTCAACTTCGCAAACCATCCACAGAAACCTTAGGCGTGGTACGTGGTACTAAACAAAAGAAGAATGCATGTGAATGGTTGCCATGAAAAGCCAACAGAACAGAGAAGAACCGTGTAGTTTCAGTCAGGCTGCAGTACCGGATGGACAAAATGGCCGGTTACAGCTCAGCACCCTCCCCTGCCGAATTACCTCTTGCAGCAAGCCCGCCTCTGACAGCCTGTCTATGGCGACGTTACCATTCCTTCCAACTCCTTACCATTGCCATACCCCCAGCGATGTCCTTCGGTTAGCCTGTTCAAAACACGGCAAGTCTGGTTTTTTTAAAAGTGATGTAGTTTTGTATCCGTTGAAGATAAACCGGAGAAAGGTGGTTTTTTGCAGTTGGTGGCACGCTCGCCCAATGAAAATACGAGTTGCTCTTGCTAGGCCAGCAAGAAGCCTGATCCGTAGTGTTGTGGTTGCGCCACTTTAGCTGTGCAAAAGGGTGTGAAGTAGGCACCGATGCCACCGTCCCTCTCGTTGGCCCTATGCGTCTTCATTGACCTCCCTAAGACTCTGCCCAGCCTTAGTAACAGGATACCTGTCAGAGAAACATGATGAATGGGAATTTATGGGTCAAAAGGAGATCAGCTGCGAGCAGTTAGGCGACCATATCAACCACAACGCCAATCGACGAACATCTCTTCTGATGCAACACTTTTTGTCGCCCCCTGCCTCAGTTGGCTACGATAATTTTTGGTACTCGCTTAATATTGCTAGCAGGGCGCTCTATAGAGTGTAAAATAACGGGGTATCACAAGAATGATGAGTTAATGGAAAAGTCGTACCCCAGGGGAAGTCGCGAACCGCACCTCCCGCTGTTCGGCTGTGCGGCGTAACGGATAGCGCACTCGCCCGGAAAGCGTGAGGTGCGGGTTCGACTCCCGCCTGGGGCACGACTTTTGCCCATAACTCAGCATTCTTGTGATAACATTCGGAACGCGAACTGCGGCGTTAAACAGCAGTTATCATAACAAAACAGATGTGAAACGGTCGAAAAGCTGAAAAGAAAAGCTTCGTTGTTAATACACAAAAACACTTTCGCATAGGCATCTTGCCAGTTTTTCATAGGCATCTGGCTAATGGCGAAAGCCGCTACGTAGATGCTGCTGCGATATGTACTCATATTTCATGCCAGTACGCAGGGCAGCCGCTTCATACCCATCCCTTCGCTTCATATTTTACTTAGCAAATGAAGCAATACGAGCATCAGGTACGGTCTCCAATTGTGGGCGCGCGGGCATGGTGGGCGTTTCTATGTTGTAGCTCGATAGGGCCCTTATATGGGTAGCTCCCTTGGTAAAGGCGCTGCACAGGTCTGCTCAGGGTCGCGGAATTCCGTCCTGCCAGGCGTCTTAATCCTACCCGTCCTAGGGATTTATCGGGCCAACTGCCTTTAGGGGCACTCGCTAGGAGGATGTCATTGTGGTGCTGGCGAAGATTTTTCTGCATTTAGTCCACTATTGATCTTCATAGCGTCTTGGCATCCACTAACCACTGCCCAGTATATCTGATCGCGGGTTTTTCCTCTGGAAAGCCTTATTCACTACAAGGCTTTTCAGTAAAACCCTAAAGAGGATAACTTCTTGAGTCCGTTTGTGTTCCTTGGATCCCTGTGACAGCAGGCCTTTTATAATACATTTTCTTCTACACTGTGTCAGTCAGTAGCATTATTGCAGATAGGTAACACGGGTTCTTTTGCTCCGAAGCAATGAGAGAACATAATACCGTTTTGTTTATTTGTTTATTTGTTTACTAGCACTTACGTGCACCATCGACAGCAAAAAAGAACATGAATATTAAGAGCATATCAACTAAGGCAAATCAAACCGAAACAAAAGAAAACATAAACCGTTAGGTATACTAACTAAATGCAGAGGGAAGCAATAAAAGGAGGTCGTACAAGCCAAGTTTCAGTTTCAGTTTATTACATGACTGAGCATGTAAGTCGCCAACAGGGGGGGCGACGTTAAAACAAGCAACAACAACCAAAACAAAAAATAAATAAATCAAAAGGAACAACGGTATGGAGAACAACCGAAGATGGTTTGCACAAATGAAGGGAATTACATTACAGAACTTAGGGGAGAGAAGCAATAAAAGGAGGGCGTACAAGCCAAGTAGAACATAGGCAACAAACCGGTCATGCATTAAAAACCTCTTCCCCATACTGTTTTGCGATTCACTTTTTATTCGTGCATTCTTCTAAAAGCACTCTTCATCTTCCTGACTTCAAATTGAAACTTAAGAACAATGCTCTCGGAGTGGCTTCTTGAATTTGATCTCATGTTCACGTTCAGGATTGCGATAGCTGCTTGGTCGTCTGGCACTGGTGGTGCGGGTCTGATCGGTTCATTTTCGTATGCTCTGCTCACCGAGCCGTCAATGGGAAACCTACAGCCTAAAGTCGCGCTTCTCATTCAACTTTTCGTACCAATCGTTTTTGCTCTCACGTGAGTTCTGATTACTATTTTCTTTCCCGATAGTAGAAAGGTTTTTGTTCGAATGATATCTTCAAGACCAAGCTTATTGCAATCTGGTCAGAGTTCATCAAAAGTACTAGTAAATTTTAGATATTTCTTCGTATTAGTAACTCCTGAAGATGTGCACACGCCTGGACTGAATCCAAAGACGTGGATTGTACCTAAGGAGGTTCACAAGCAGGTGATTTCTTCAGTTCCTATCCTCACACTGAACGATGATGGTTGGCCTGTAAGGGCAATAAAGAGCAAAACGCGATCCTGTTAGAGTGACGGGCATTTGGTGCTTCACGCAGGGCACGCCATCGCGTTGTGATCATTTCCTGAAAAATACGACCCCTCCTCCTAATTATCCTCGAATACGACCCTCCCTCCCCATGCTACCTACCACTTTCCTAGATTTTCCCAACTTCCTACCACTTTTTCCATTTTTTCCCAAAAAATTTCCAGTTTTTCAGCCAAGAATTTTCCGTCGAGCGGGGGGGGGGAAGGAGAAGGTCGTCAGGATTTAACTATTATTTTCAACTATCGAAAATAGTAGTTGTATAGATCTTTGGCAGTCCCTCTTCCA